ATATATATATATATATATATATATATATATATATATATATTGTTTTTGTACATAATAGCGATAGTTTCGCTATATTGAATTCAACAATTTTTATTTCTATACATGTATATGTATATACTGTTGTAATGAGAATTTCATATTGAAATTAAGTAATTTGAAATATTTTAAACTTGTAAACGAAATGTTGATCGCGAAATGCATATTGTTCTCATTTGTGTATCATAGGTCGCATGCACAAGATATGCAATATATATAATATTAGTGCTCTAAATCTGTATTATATTGTATACGAAATTATGAAGAGATAAACATCGGGCATTGGCTCATAAGCGGCTCGAGCTTTTTTAAATTGCTGTCGTCGTAACAAACTCGCGAGGCGATCCGAGTTTAAGGGCGTTTCATCCCGACACCAATTCGATCGCGGCTGCAAATTCGCGCGGAGCTATCTGGAATTTTTGAGGAGCCCAGTGGGGCAGAGAAGGGGAGAAGTGGAATACAGGGCGGTAGAGGGAAGAAGGAGAATGGATGCAGCGTAAGAGGACGACGGGAGAGAAGACGAAGAAGAGTACGGAGAACGAAGGGTGCGTATGTTTGAGGGTTGGAGAGGGACGGAGATAAACTGCGAAGGGTTGAGGGTGGATGCGGGGTGGCGTAGATGGAACGGGGCTCGGAGGGATAGGAGGAAGAGGCGAGGAAATGGGAGAGAGATGGAGAGAGGCAGAGACAGAGAGACAGCGAGGGAGCGAGAGATTGAGGGGTTGCGGGGTAGCAGAGGCAGGAAGAAAGAGAGAGAGAGTCAGAGAGTCAGAGAGAGAGAGGGGGAGAGAGAAAGAGAGAGAGAGAGAGAGAGAGAGTCAGAGAGAGGGAGCGAGAGAGAAGGCGAGTGGGATAGTGCACGGATGGGTCTCCGGTTGCCATGGCGACAACCGTAGCCTAAAGCTATGCTTTTATTGATTCCAAGCCGCAAACAATGTGCAGGAGTGGATGTTTCGCTCTGTTCTCTCTCTATCCGTCTGGATAGTGAGGTATTAACGCACCCCGAAATACCGATACCCATGGGCACGTGCCCCAGAAAAGCGGGGCCGGCTCGTCTCACCTCGTCCTCCCCCTCATCTCTAGTGCCCCCCTCCTCTCCCCCTCATCGTCCCTCAAACTCCTGTTGCCCCTTTCGTCCTCTTCCCCGCAGCCGCCGCGAAGCGCCATCCGATTAATTCAGCAGTCTCTCGATATGCACAGTTCGCCGTTGCATTAAAATACACGGACTTCAAAGCGCACCAGCCGAGTATAACGCAACGCGAGCCGACGTCAAAGGTTACGTCGCACTGCACCTTCCAACGTTCGCCCCTTTCCCCTGTCCCTCCACACTTCCCACAGCCCCGAATTTTACGGGGTGCTTTTTTTGTACGGTGTCGCGCGAGCGTGATAGCGCGCCTTCGCGTGCGAGCGTGCTACTAGATGACGTAGTCGCGGTTTACTCGGGGGCTTCCAATAATAATTCCGCATTCCGTCGAAAAAAGAGATTGTTCGAAGTTAGAGCGCAGTAGCTCCGTTTGAGTAGAGTCAGATGTGATAAAGAGAAGCGTGTTATGATTTGACTGATCTGAATGATCTTGATGCATGACGCAATTACGTGAGAGGATACGATGAAAATGATGCGGGGAGAATTATATGTGCGAATGCGCGATCTGTTTAGATCGCAAGCGCGCGCTACGCTAGAATTATAAACTAAACCGGATGTATGGCACTGGGGACATGAATACTTGAGATCGAATTGAAAACGTATCACCGCAGGTAAATTCGGTGGTCGGTGCTGTATTTGCCGCTAACAGCTGCGATTCGGCGACGGGATAAAAGGGAGGGAAGAATCGCACGGGAAAATACTCCATTCTTTCTTGTGCGGGGGCTATCTTTTGAAAATCGAATCAATAACAATGAGCAAAACTAGCCATGCGAAAGTCAGATCGCGATTGAGTTTTCTACTCGATTACTACGAAGCGGACCACCCATCGCGATTTCTCTTTCGCGACTGAACAGTTTACCGCCCGCGGATGCGTTTCAATCGCGCGATATTCCAGGCATGTTCCTCTCGTAATATATTAGATCGAGTTAGATATATTTAAAGTAATGAAATAATTTTTCTATAATAGATTATTTTATTTTGAGAGAGAGAAAGGAGAAAGGAAGAGGGAGAGGGGGAGAAAGAGAGAGAAAGAAATATGAATTTGTGTAACTTTCCCGTAGAATTTTTTTAATGAAAGGAATTTGTTTTGCAGTAAAAAGTAACTATCAGTATTAGTTTTATTATTGATAATATATACGGAAAATAAATTTTTATGGATTTTGAGGATACTCTGAGATCCCGATATTCTGCAATAATTGTTCTTTTATTTCACATATGTTGCTTATATTTTAGAAACTAAAATGTGCTGTTAAAAAATTTGCGAAATTTACTAAAAAAATTTCTATTTACGACGTTCCTTAGTAAGATGAACCTCTTATACTAACATTCTATTCCTGCACTACTAGAAATATAGTAAAATTGAAAAGAATTTATATAAAAAAGATTTATATACATATATTCTCTCCGTATGGCTTCTTAAGAGTGAAAATATGGTCTTTTACTATATTAATCGTTAGAGTGTAGCAAATTTTCATGAAGATTTTCCATCGCCAATGAAATTTTTCTAGCGGGTCAAAATGACCTAATTTTGTTAAATCAAACTTATGTACTTGAAGATTACTTTTATGTGCACACGTACGAATCTATTTGCAGTAGTTTCGCAGGAGTTTATTTATTTAGTGTTTTGATAGTGATTAGCGATTGTCTTGAGAATGTATACTCAATCGCGAAACAAAATTGTTACATCGAACAATTGTGTTGAAACTCGCGCTGTACATACAGCGTCACTGAACTCGCGGGAAACATCGTCGAACGGGTTTCCCTCGCTGTAATTTTAATCTCTCATTATCTTGATTCTTTCTTCGTGCGACAATTTGTCTAAGAAAAAGTTGGATCAAGAGACCTACTAACAGTTTCGCGATTTCAAGCTATTATTCGAACTATTAACTATTAGAAATGAGACGAGCATTCTGGTGAAACAGTCCTCCGTTAACCATTCCATTTTTCGATACCCTCGCCGTCTCTCTCTTTCTTTTCTGTTCTCTGACGATCAATGCCACGGAGGAAGATCAAATATATTTCCCTGTAAGAATATACACGAGACCACATTACATCACATCGCCCGCCGTCACTTCCTCGCGTGATCTTCGAGATCCGCGAATACACGAAGCACACACCAACCCACCACGTTTCTCCCTTCGCGCTTACCTGTTGACCCTCCTTAACTTCTCCAAGGAACGGCGTGATCGCGCGACGTATATCTCTCTCTCCCCCTTCCCTGCCTCTTTGCCACCACTCCTGCCCTCCCGCTTTTTTTATATTGTTATTCGGATTTTCTCGTCGGAGGAAAATATCGCGCTGGTTAGCGACTGCCGCTGCTCGTGCTTGCGCGCGCGCGTGCACGCGTACGTGCGTGAGTCGCTCGCGGTTGCGTGTACATATATACACACATCTACATATGTGTGTGTGTGTATATTTTTTTATTTCCGCGGCAATCGCTCGATCGCAGGCGTGTCGCATTCTGACGCATGAAAATGGCCCAAAGGGATGCGCCAGCC